CAGCGGGCATGTAGTTGGACGGCTACCTGCTAGGATTTTGGAGACCTCACTCTCAGTGAGAGGGGTGAAAGAGGGAAACGATGAGTTATTGATGGTAGCGCCCTTAGGGGGGGAAGACAGTTGGTTGAACTGTTTCCHAATGGCTGCCACTTTCTCTGTGAAGAAGGAAGCAAAGTTATCGGCTGTGAGGTTAGGAGCTTGGGGAGGAGGGGGAGGGTAGAGCAGAGTTTTGAAGGTGGAGAATAGTTTCCGAGCATCAGTTGCACTGTTGATTTTGTCATTGAAAAAAGTTTTCTTAGCAGCAGTGATGCTGGATGAGAAGGAGGCCAGCAGTGTCTGGTAGCTTGCAAGATCGTCCTGTGCTGCAGATTTGTGCCACTTTCTCTCAGCCGCTCTGAGATTGGAGCGCTGCGTTCGGAGGGTATCACTCAGCGCAGGTCTAGTAGAAAGTGGACACAAACTGTCCAAGCATGAGCTTAGAGTGGAGCAGAGAGATTCTGTGGCATCATTGACACCTAGTGAGGAGAAGGTGGATAAAGGTGGAAGAGTAGAGGAAACCAGGGAGGAAAAGTGAGTGGGAGAGAGGTTGCGGAGGTTGCGCCGGAACGAGACCATAGGAGGAGGGACAGAGGGTTGCTCAATGAGCCGAACATCAAAGCGAATAAAGAAGTGGTCTGAGAGATGGAGAGAGGTTACGGTTAGGTTTTCCGTGGTGCAGTTCCGAGCAAGGATGAGGTCGAGCTCTTTCCCTGCTTTGTGAGTTGGGGGAGTGGGTACCTGTTGTAAGTCGAACGAGTGAACCAGGGTCCGAAAGTCAGCCGAGTTGGGATTGTCTAGGTGGATGTTCATGTCGCCAAGGATGAGTATTGGACACTCATGGTCAGGGATGGATGACAGCAGGGTGTCCAGCTCATGGACGAAATCGCCCAGTTGTCCTGGTGGCCGGTAGATAACAATCACATATGTTTTAACAGGAGCAGTTACCATAATTGCATGATATTCAAACGAGGCATACCTGTTTGAGGACAGCAGTGGAGTAAATTTCCAGTTTTCDGAGATCAACAGCCCCGTCCCACCTCCACGACCAGATGGCCGAGATGTATGGGAGAAGGCATARTTAGTGGAGAGTGCTGCTGGGACAGCAGTGTCTTCAGGTTTGATCCAAGTCTCAGTGAGAGCTAAGAGCCCTAGTGAGAGGTGGTTGGCATAACCTGAAATGAAGTTGGCTTTGTTGCCTGCAGACTGGCAGTTCCACAGGCCAACAGAGAAGGAAGTTACAGCAGATGAGGTTTGTTGAAATGAGCGGAGGTTACTCAGGTTGCGCTGCCTTCTGGTGCGCTGGGATCTCTTGTGACAGCAAGTGACAACAGAGATACTGCTGTGACACATGACTAGAAAGACAAATTTTTGTATTGGTTTAGAAAGGTTCTAGAGTTAAAAGTGTTTCCTGTTTCTAGAGTTAAAAGTGCTTCCTGTTTCTAGAGTTAAAAGTGTTTCCTGTTTGGAGTGAAAAGAGTTTACTTCTCCGCATCGGAGGGGGGGGGGGTGCAGCAGCGGAGGGGGGGAAGGTCGCGGGGACAGAGAATAGTTGTTGGGGCTCAGTCTGATAAAGATCAAATCAAATCAAAATCAAAAATCAAATCCAATTTACTTATATAGCACGGTATCACAACAAACAGTTGTTTCAGGGTGCTGTACAAAAGTCCAAGATCTTAACAAAGACAAAGTCCAACTGAGCAAGCATGAGCAACAGCGGGGAGGAAAAACTCCCAGTTGGAAGAAACCTCGCAGACCCGGTCTCAGTGCATGGCCTCTGCCATGACCGGTTGGGGTGAGTGGAGAA